TGGCGTTTCTCTGAGCTGAACCTCCTCATCAACGTATCCTTCCACTCGGACTTAAACTTGTGAGTGAGGTCCTTTTCAAAAGCAAGCTGAATCAGCTGGGCCTTGCATCTGTGCAGCATACTGCGCCGATGCTCTGAGAAGACGCCTTTGAGCGTGGAAAATGAGTTTTCACACATTGCTGTGGAAGCTCCTAAAGTTTTTAACATTTTGCCTGGATATTTCCTCAACACAACCTGTTTGGGTTTGTCCGTGCCGAGGTCACTCACACCCACTGATCCAACAGGCAGTTGTGGCCCAAATACTGCCCCAGTCGCGGTTGCACTTGACCTGCTGATAGCCTCCGCTCCGTGGCCGCTGCAGGTCCTGCCAGGCCCAGGGTCGGGCTCCACGGAGCTACTAGCAACGGGCTTAGACTGTCGTCCAGGGTCTCCTTCTCCAACGACATCAGGAGGCGTCGGTGTCGTATCCGATTTGGCAGAGGAGACTGTTGGTGGGCTTTTCAACCACTTACAAATATCCATGATGAACTAGAAATGTAATAGTAAGCCGGTGAAAACTCATCCAGCTTCACTTTCAAAAATGCGCGGTTACTATTGAGCTGCTACATTGACGTAGGCTACGTCACGTACATAGCGTAACTTTCTTTTCAGTAAGGCCGTGATAGGCTGTTGCAGTGTACATTCCCATCAATCAAACAAAATCACACCATTGTTTCTTTATATTTTTAATGTTTTAATGATAAAGAATACAACATTAGTATTTCTCAACACAAAATTAGCTACTATGATAATATAAAATAAGAATTAAAGTAATTTTGTGCCTCAAGTGGGGGGACACAAGCATTTTTGGGGGCGGGCAAGCCCCCCTATGGCCCGCCCATAGCGACGGGTGTGATGCTTCATAGTCATGGATGTTCTGTCACTGCCCTCCAGTGGTCAGTTTCAGTCACTACAACTGCATTATTTCCGCACGAATGTTCATCAGCCCTCTATATGTGAACACATTATTAAACTGCTATAAATACTGATGTCAACAGTCATATTGTTCCTTGTAAACTGACTGAGAAATACTGCTACTGCTTATGCTTTCAAGTGGTCACTACGACACTACACTGATACGTATTCAACAGGATTCACACTTTTTATCAATATGTAATATGTAGCTACAAATCAGTATTGATGACGTTATCTGTAAGATGAAGACTGGTAATAGTTTGAATAATATTCCACATATTATTCCATCCATGTTTTCTGTATATGGCTAGACATATCAGCTAGGGATACACTGTAACAAACGACAACCAAACGATGACACAGTGCCTATACATTGTAAAAAAAAAAATCATAATACTTCATTAGTCTTTTACTAAACAACTCAATGATTGAGCTGATGGAAGTTTTATTTTTAAAAAATGACTGTGGGCGCAGCTGCCACACACAGACTCACCTGTACAGGTAAACACAGGCTTGATTCACCTGCTGTTGAACACGTGACTCAAACATTATGTGTCGGTGGAGGCTGAGCTGGATTGTCTCCTCTGAGCTGAGAGAAAAGATAAATAAAGACGAAATGAAAGAGTGAAAGCCTAACCCTTACCTTTCACCAGACAGAAGAAGCTGCCCAGAGACACTAAGACATCAACAACCCAGAAGTAACCATTATGCAAAATGCACTTTTCCCTGGTTTTCTATCAGTAATACGTGTCCAAGGCCTGTCTACAAACACCCCAAACATGAGAAAAATCCATCCTCTCCGTCTTTTGCTTGCTCCACCTTTCAGAAAATGTGTGCTCACACAGGCCAATTGGAGATTTTCCCTTGATGTCGTCATGAAGGGAAATAACACCTCCCCCCAGGTGGGTGACACTCCCCGAGCTAGGTGTGTGTTCCGCCCTCTGAGTCCGCCTTGCAGCCGCTATCATTTATTTTGCACATATAGTGAGCTATTTGCAGCATTTACAAGCTATTGACAACCCAATTTACACATAATTGAGTGCATTTGTTGTTATCATTTTTGCACTGCTTGCAGCTGTTGCCATAACTACACATTTGAGGAGATGTTGGTGTAACCTCTGTTTCCTCTGTTCAGGCCAGCACATCAAGTGCATCTATACAGCTTCCTGCAACAAGGGATGTTGCATGCCAGACTGACCCACTGTAGGCACACAGTTATCCTTGAGGACTCTTCAGCCTCACATCAGAAGTAAAGGTCTGTATCTGAAGTGCATCTACTTTTGATAAACCTAACAGTCATTTATCAGTCTTGGAATGCTGTGCAGGTAAATGAAGCTGTGGTTACTTAGAACTTGTGAGAGTGTGTAGGCTAAGGTTTCTGTCAATATTAACATCTTTGATTTTCTCTTTACTGTACCTCCAGACTCTACCTGGCTGCCATGTACTACAATGAAAATGCTGACCGACCACAAGCCCAAACAAAAGAAGGTGAACCACTGTTCAAGGTCCACTTTCCAAAGGCCATGAAGGGAGAATGCAGAGCTAAACCAGTTAAGACTGAACCGACATTGTATAAGTGTTATATTATTTTAATTTTCAACCAAAACATGTTTTGTACACATTGTATTAAGTATTGCACGTTCCACCAACAACAAAATACAGTAAAGAAAATGTCAGGAGGTAGTTAGAAACAGACTTTCAGTCATTGTTTTGTAAAAAAACAATGATTGAAAGTCTGTTTCTAACTCTTTGTTGACCTGGGACCATACATGGAAGCTGCTTTGGCCATCCCCATCCCAGAGGACCTCACTGCACAGTTCTAGCGGCCTGAGAAGGAGGAGGTCAACTCCTATGTGTCCCGGTTCTATCATGGGCCAGTCTAAAACTCACGTACCGGCCTGTGGTGTCAAGAAACTCCGCATGGATGCGTAGGACCACGCAGGCTGGAAAGACGACCCAGATTCTGCGACCAAGGAAACCCCAGCACCAGCCCACAAAGCTCCTATAGGCTAGATACCTGTACCGACTAAAACAACTGGACAGGGCATTTAGTCTTGCAAACATATCTATGATGTGTCTAACAATTTTTTTTTTTTATGGATCCAGTGAATCCTAAAGTTTTTTTTATTATCACTGATTATAAGTGCCTCATTCGATGTAAATAAATGCTTGATCGTTACTAAAGAAATGACTCCTCTGAATTCATATATTATATGCACACTATCGGCTGACAGAAGAACTTTACAAAATGGTAAATGCTATGGTTTATTATAAATGTAATGTAATCAAAACAAATTACTGATTAGTTTGTCTAGTGAGAATGCTACCTGTGGTATCTCCTAGCAGCAGATATTCTCAGCTTCTGTGGGCATGGTTGCACAGTTTCCACAGGAGCACCTATCCAAAATATAGAGAAAAATGGAAACATTCACCAGAATATAAAGCTTATGAAATTCAAAAACTGACAGACAGTGGAGCTAAGGTGGGTAAGAAGTAAGCTTGGCTACATATCAAGCGCATATAACATAGGTAATTTATAACATGTCACTTATTGCATATAATGTGGAGCTTAATAAAAGGAAGATAAAGGGAGATGTCATGATGAGCATCTGCTCAAAACATGGAGAAAAATGAATAAAAATCAAAATGATTTACTTTGTCAGCATCTATTAAGATATCTGACTAGTCTTGACATTGAACACCTGTAGCAGTCCTCAGTCAACAAACATTTTCATAGACTGTAAAAGTATATCTAAGGAGGCATGACAGATAACTACATTACACAATTCACAATAGTTGCTTATTTACCAAAAGAGCTCCCAGTAATGAAGAGACAGTAACCGTTAGCATTAGCTACCTAGCCACATGTTAATAACTGTGTGCTAGCACACATCAACAAACTGAAAATGTAAAGTCAAAATACAAAAAATTGGTTACCGACCATTCAGAACCGTACTCCTGCAGTTGTGGAGATTGAACCAAAGTTCTTCCGACGTTAGGTCGCCGGTCACGGTCACCGTAAACATTAGAGCATGGTGCCAGAAGCCCAAGCCACATCCCCTTCCAGAGAGGGGCGTGGTCAGGCACAGCTCATTTGCATTTAAAGCTACAGACACAGAAACAGCCTGTTCTGAACAAGGCTGAAAAAGAGGGGTTTACAGGCATGCTGAAATATAGGATCGGAATGGATTTTTTAGCAAGAAGCTTCAAAGACATGTTTTGGGGACCTCTGAGACTTATTTAAACTTGTTGAAAAGGAGCATAATATGTCCCCTTTAAGGGTGGGAATTCCTGCCACCTCCCATCCCCGCACCTCCATCCTCCAGCTGTGACCAGGAAGCCAGTCTCTCTCCGCTGCTTTGTACAGTCCTGTGAGAAACTTGTAATATTCAGATATCGATTCTATCTTTATTATTTGGATTCTTATTAGTTTATCATCGCTGCAATAAACATGTTTTTATGTCTTTGTTATTCACTGCAAACTAATCAGGATCGGCTCATTAAAAATAAAAATGATTGAATATGAGGATTCATACAGTCATTTCACTTTGAATTTGATCCTAATAAAAAGTGTGACTCCTTTTGGACACATATCAGTGTAATGTAGTGTTGTAGTGGGTCAGAATGACAACTACTAATAGTATTTCTCCATCAGTCCACATAAATGTGAGTGTCAGCACAAATATTTGTATTAATATAAAGAGTGTTATATTGAGACAGCTACAGTTACTCACTAGACTGTAGTGATAGATCACTCATATTCACATCTATTCTGATTCTATTTCTGCTCCTTCTCTCTTCTATTTCACATCAACACCAATGTTACTGTTGAACTGATGAGTGTTTACTGCCCCCAGATGGTCACAGTGGGGAACTGCAACTACACTACATCATGACGTCTCAACCTGGGGAAACACTGTAAAAAATGAGAGCGAAGAGTGGAGTGTCAAAATGGGATTTAATATAAAAGACCAGCACATACACTGTAAGAACAGAAAATGAAAACAAGAGAACGAAGAATGGACTGTTAAAATAAAAGACCATGAGATACAGCATGGACATGTACTTTCATAATAAAAGACCAGAACACATACTAGAAGACCATAGACAGCGTTGAATAGCCAGTTGACATAAAAGTCTATGAGGGACAATGTATAATAACAATAGGGCTGTTAAAACAGATGACTGATTCACTGTAAAAATGACACCAAAGGATAGAATGTTAAAACAGATGAAAACATAAACAACATGACAACCTGGTTATACAGTAACCAGCAAAGTATACAGTCAAGTATTATTGCAGCCAGTGAGTTCTCTGCAAAACTTCAAAAACAGGGTGAAAAACAGGTATACACTGTAAAAATGAAAACAATGTAGTTTCAAAACTTCAAACAATTTTTTTAAATCTTCATTGCAACTTCTTCTTTTAGTAAAATTTCAGCTGCTTGTGGTTCAATCCCATAACCCATCTTTTCTAAGTCTTTTTCTTGGTGTTGACTTTTAAAACTGGTAGAATTGAGCCTCAAACTCTTCAGGGTAGTCAGGATCTTTCCATCATTTCTAAAGTCTTTTGAGTCTTTTCTTTGGGTTGGTGATCAAACACACAACCTTTAAATATCTCATGACTTTGAGGGTGTGAGAGACTTCTAGAGTCATCAATCACCTCAAGCCTGTTGGACAAAGTCAATGTTGACCTCATTTTCAACTTTTTCAACTTTTCAGTCTTTCCTCTGGACAGAAACCTTCAACACTGAGAACATCAGGTCCGTTTTCATTGATACAGACAGTGTTCAACAGTGAGAAAGTTTCTCTAATAGGACGAGATTCTCTCTGCTACACTGAACACAGAGACACTGAGGCACCAGGCCACAAGACTGCAAACCCAGGATACAGAGGTTCAGTGAATGTGGTGTTGAAGGTGTGGAGGTGGATCAGTGAGTCAGAGGAGACTCTGTAGAAAGACAGAGTGCCAGCAGGACAGTCCACATACACTGCTACTCTCTTAGAGACAGAAGAGGAGTTGGAGTAAGAGGAGGAAGAGGAAAAGGAGGGGATAGATGTTTCTCTGTTATTGTGCCAGACAGAGTAACCATGAACATCAGAGCAGCTCAGGCTCCAGGACTGATTGTTTTTTCCAGACACACATTCTTTACTGTCTCCTCTCCTTTTGATTCTTCTGTAACTCACTGATATATAAACGTCTTCGCTCCATTCAACCTCCCAGTAACAGCGACCAGTCAGACCATCTCTACACAGCAGCTGAGGCCAGTCAAATCTGTCCAGATGATCAGGATATGACTGATCCTCCTCCACACGTGTTGCCTTCCTGTTGTTGTCAGACAATTTTATCCTTCTGTTCACTGTGTTTGTGTCAAGCGTGAGTTCACAGGAATCTGATGGAGAGAACAAGACACAGCTGCAGTTATTGATCATCTGATCATTTATTGACAGTTTTATGATGTCTCATGACATCAGTGATGTGACATGAATCAAATTAAAAACACACTTACACTTCCTCAGACCTGGTCTCAACCATCGGACTCCACTAGGCTCCACCCTGAAAGGAGGAGGGGGGTCAGAGCAGCACATTATCTTTCAGCATGCAGACACTGACATTACATGGCTCTCATACACAAACTGTTTTATTATTGTGTTCAAATGTGGGCTTGTAAATATGGATGTACATTCAAGAGGGTCTGGAATCCTTATCTTATGTAGAGATCTGTAATCAGCTGTGGCAGAGAAAATGTTTCAGCTCTTCCTCCTCTATCAGACTATCTGTGTCTGCAGATGGCCTCTCCATACCTGAGAGTCTCCAGTCTCCAGCGTGGATCCTCCTGTCCAGCCGACAACAACTTCAATCCTGAGTGTCCTGGATGATTATAGCTCAGGTCCAGCTCTCTCAGATGGGAGGGGTTGGATCTCAGAGCTGAGGCCAGAGAAGCACAGCCTTCCTCTGTGATCAGACAGCCTGACAGACTGAAGACACACAAAACAACATATGCTTAAGTGTGGGTACTCCAGTTCCGATGATGGGCATGATTTTCTGGAGGTCTGTGATTGAGGAAGTCCTGCTGGAGGTCGTTACAAAGGTTAGAAGGCCTGTTCTCAGGAATAAAGAGGCAGGTGGAGGGGGGTACTCCTTGACATGCTTTCCCAGGATAGAGAGTCTGTCCTAAAGCATGAATGGTCCGGGTACAGGAATGAGAGCCTGTTCTTGGGCATGGAGGCCCCTGATGGAGGGGGACTCCCTGGAAGTCGTTACCTGGGTAGGAAGCCTGTCCTGGGGTATGAAGGGTCCGCTGGAGGGAGGGTCTTAATCAAGGTCTCTAGCTGGGTTAGGGGGCTTGTCTGTGGGCACGGAGATTCCAAACACCTTCTACAGTACACTTTTGACAACAGCTTTGCAAGATGTGAAGAAGCGGGTGTCACAAGGTTTTGATAGAAAATATCTTGTGATTTTGGTTTCTCGATGTGCCTCTTGCAAAGCTAGCACAACAACATTATTGAATTTATGCAAATGACACGCAAATATAACCTTTTGGAAAAAGAGAAACAGCACCTGTTTGGTCGCCAGGGTAGACTACCCCCATTCTCAGGTAAAGGTTCATACCAAAATTTCTATCTAGTTTTCTTGACTGACCAACATCCAACCCATAGACTTTGACTCTAACTGTTGTCATGACTAGATTTGCCATGGCCCATTTTATTATTATTATTATTATTATTATCTCAAAATCCTCATGGAAATTCTCAGTGCTCTAATTTGACTATCTAACTAACCAGATTTTATAGGATCGTCAGTTAAACGGGTTCATGAATTCTGACCTGAGAGTTTCCAGTGTACAGAGTGGACTCTCCAGTCCACCAGACAGGAGCTTCACCCCTGAATCCCGCAGGTCATTGTTACTCAGGTCCACATCTCTCAGACTAGAGGACTGGGAGTTAAGAACTGAGGAAAGAGCTTCACAGCTTCTCTCTGAGAGGTTACAGCCACTCAGTCTGAAAGGGAAATAATGAAAAAGACAAATATCATCTGTGTTGAAAGGACAGGACATATGTCCCCTTCCGACACACTCACATACACAAGTAAATTGGCATTGCTGGCAAGGTCTGTGGATTTTCCCACCTGTAATGCATAGTGCGCACTTGCCTTGATGCAAGCTGTGGTCTGTTGTTTGATGTTATCAAGACATTTCTTTAATCTGCCTACTTGTGGTATCATTTGACAGGGGTCACTGTAGTGATGTGCGCAGCGCATTAATTCGCTCAACCCCTCCTTGCCTCGCTTTCGCTTTAATGCAGGTCTGAACAGGGCCATATACAGCTAAGCTCATGAGCCCCATGCAGTTTGCCAACCGAGCCGACTGAGGTGTGGAGGACCCCATAGCCACCCTCCTGGATAAAGTATATGGTCATCTAGACCAGTAGTTCTCAAACTTTTCAAATCACAAATCCCTAGAATAATCAGGTAGGTATTTGTGACCCAGCACTATATGCTTCCAAGTTGTTTAATACTTTGTGGTGTCTAAATATTTTTGGAATAAGTTTTCTCTGAACCCCACCGCTAAGTAATTAGGTATTGGAATGGTGAAATGAGTAAGCTAAATTATGAGCGCATGTATAGGTGCGGCAATGTCCATAGTACTGAAACAGAGTGGAGGAGAACAATAGACAGAACACGTCACTTAGTTTGGTTTCCAAGCCTGCTTGCTTCAGAGGTTGTAAAAAGAACTTTCAGCCCAAATTCCATTATTCCGGCATTGTAACAATCCACATGGACAGTCAACGAGAGACGGAGAGACAGAGTTTTGTACGTCATCAGATCATATTAGTATTCTGCCTGGTGTCAGCTGGTTTAGGCCCTTTATCTGTGTGCTGTTCTAATATTCTCTGTGCTCACAGTAGTATATACAGTATTTTAATACAGCCAGAGAGACGTGTGCCTGTCAGAGGGCAGTATGGGCAACTGTCTTTTATGGAAAGTAGCTAAAAATTGTGCAAAACGTCGCTAGATCTGTAAAATCTTCTCAGTGACTCCTAGAACTCCACAGGCCTCTGTCAAGTCCGAATTTTTTGACTTGACAAATATCTCCAGCACTAACTTCATCTCACCTGAGAGTTTCCAGTTTACAGACTGGATTCTTCAGTCCACCAGACAGCAGCTCCACTCCTGGATCCTGCAAGTTGTTGTTACTCAGGTCCAGGACTCTTAGACTAGAGGACTGGGAGCTGAGAACTGATGACAGAGCTTCACAGCTTCTCTCTGAGAGGTTACAGCCACTCAGTCTGAAGAGATGACAATAAGAAATTAAAGAGGAAAGCAGTGTATTTTCTCTAGTGTTGAAAAGATAGGTCTTTTTATAATGATGAACAAATCCAACTATCTATACACTTACAGAGCTTTCTTGGAGGCTTTGACCACTGGCAGCAGCCTCAGAAGAGCCTCCTCTGAAGCAGAGTATTTCTTGAGGTCAAACACGTCCAGATCTTTTTCTGATGACAGTAAGATGAAGACCAGAGCTGACCATTGAGCAGGAGAGAGTTTATCTGTGGAGAGGCTACCTGCTCCCAGGTACTGTTGGATCTGCTCCACTAGAGAACGATCATTCAGTTCATTGAGACAATGGAACAGGTTGATGCTTTTCTCTACAGAGGGAGTCTCTTTGATCTTCTTCTTGATGCACTGGACTGTTTCCTGATTGGTCTCTGAGTCACTTCCCCTCTCCATCAGCAGGCCTAGTAGGAGAGTCTGATTGGTCTGCAGTGAAAGACCCAGGAGAAAACGGAGGAACAAGTCCAGGTGTCCATTTGGACTCTGAAATGCCTCGTCCACAGCTCTCTGGTAGAAGAGTATCTCTGTAGATTCAACTTTTCTTCTTTCAGAATTCTGGGAGGTTGATTTATTTTCTGACAGCAGATTGACTCCAGAGTTGATGAAGGTCAGATGAACATGAAGAGCAGCCAAAAACTCCTGAACACTCAGATGGATGAAGCAGAACACCTTGTCCTCGTACAGGCCTCTCTCCTCTTTAAAGATCTGTGTGAACACTCCTGAGTACACTGAGGCTGCTCTGATATCGATGCCACACTCTGTCAGGTCTGATTCATAGAAGATCAGGTTTCCTTTCTGCAGCTGCTCAAAAGCCAGTTTTCCAAGAGACTCAGTCATGTTCCTGGTCTCTGGACTCCAGTGTGCATCTGTCTCAGCTCCTCCATCATACTTAATGTTCTTCAGTTTGGTCTGAACCACCAGGAAGTGGATGTACAGCTCAGTCAGGGTCTTGGGCAGCTCTCCTCCCTCTCTGGTTTTCAACACCTCCTTCAGAACTGTAGCAGTGATCCAGCAGAAGACTGGGATGTGGCACATGATGTGGAGGCTTCGTGATGTCTTGATGTGGGAGATGATCCTGCTGGCCTGCTCCTCATCTCTGAACCTCTTCCTGAAGTACTCCTCCTTCTGTGGGTCAGTGAACCCTCTGACCTCTGTCACCATGTCAACACACTCAGGAGGGATCTGATTGGCTGCCGCAGGTCGTGTGGTTATCCAGAGGCGAGCAGAGGGAAGCAGGTTCCCCCTGATGAGGTTTGTCAGCAGTACGTCCACTGAGGTGGACTCTGTAACATCAGTCAGGATCTCAGTGTTGTGGAAGTCCAGAGGAGGTCTACACTCATCCAGACCGTCAAAGATGAACACAACCTGGAACTGATCAAACCTGCAGATTCCTGCTTCTTTGGTTTCAGTAAAGAAGTGATGAACAAGTTCCACCAAGCTGAACTTTTTCTCTTTCAGCACATTCAGCTCTCTGAAGGTGAATGGAAATGTGAACTGTATGTCCTGGTTGGCTTTGTCTTCAGCCCAGTCCAGAGTGAACTTCTGTGTTAAGACTGTTTTCCCAATGCCAGCCACTCCCTTTGTCATCACTGTTCTGATTGGTTCATCTCTTCCAAGTGATGTTTTAAAGATGTCTTGACATCTAATGGTTGTTTCTGGTCTGACTGGTTTCCTGGATGCTGTTTCAATCTCTCTGACCTCATGTTCATTATTGACCTCTCCATTCCCTCCCTCTGTGATGTAGAGCTCTGTGTAGATCTGATTCAGAAGGGTTGGGTTTCCTGCTTTAGCGATCCCCTCAAACACACACTGGAACTTCTTCTTCAGAGTAGATTTGAGTTTGTGTTGACACGCTGGAGCAGGAGTTCCTGAGTGAACACACAAGAAACAATATCAATGATTTTAGAAGTGATTTATAAAGTTCAACCCAACTGGTCGAGGCAGACAGCTGCAGCGAGTTTTCCTCCCCACTGTCACCAAGCGCTGCTCATTGTGGGAACTGTTGGGTTTCTCTCTCTAATATTGTATGGTCTTGACCATACATTGTTAAGTGCCTTGACATAATGTTTGTCATGATTTTGCGTTATACAAATAAAATTAAATTGAATTAAAGAAAATATGATCATTTAATTCCCTTAAAGAGTACATATATAAACATATTTCCCTTCCTCTCTTGAGATGTTAGTAAATATCTCACTTCTCTATCATGTTGAATCTTTAAAAATCCTCTTACTGTTCTGCAGACAGTCAGCCAGCTCCCACTGCTTCATTCTCCTCAGAAAGTTCACTGTGATCTTCAGAAATGCCTCTGTGCTGCTCCTCCTCTGCTCCTCATCCTCACCACCCATCACCTCCTCATCCTCCCTCTCACTCTCTAAGCAATCTGGGAAATCTGGACTCAGAAGCTTCTGGATCTTCTTCAGCTCGTTCTTCACAAAAGTGACCATGTTCTCCTCCAGCAGCTGGAACAGAAAACTATATGAATGACACCATCAAACTAAAACCTGGACCCAAACATCAGATCCATGTTGTCCAATCCACTAGTCTAAAAAGCGCAGCATGGAGGTTATTGTGAACAGAACAGATGTTGTTGTACATGTACAGACCATAAATATGGAGTCTAGGTGTCTTTGATGCTGCTGGGCAGACTGACCACTGCGAACCTCTGAGCTCTCCTGGTCCACTCTGTGGAGGAATCATGAAAAGTCAAGTTGGAACTCTGCTTCTACATATAAAAATATAATTGTCTATGTGATTGTATGCAGAGAAGGGTGATATGGGTAACTGTACATTGCAGGGGCTCACAGAAGAGCTGGCATGCAAACATCCAAAATCTCAACAACTTGTAGTGCTGACCTGAGCGTCAGCAAGCTGATTAGTTGACACAATATCCTGCCGCAAGGTTTTCACTCTTTTTCTTTCAGAGTTTGTACATAGTTACATATCAGAATAATACCACCACAACTATTCTTCTGGCTGACCAGCCCCCCTGTAGTAAAGAGAGGCACTTGAAAGACTATGAAATTGGCTTCATAAGAAAGCAACATGATCAAGAACTGCCACCTCTGCCCACACAAAGGTAAGACGTTTCAGTCAGCAGTTCTTCATCCTGGGATCAGTTCAAGCTTTGAGAGAGACAGTCAATCATGTGTAGTCAGCAGCTTTGTCAATGGTAAGGAAGCTTAGAAAAACTGAACAAGATGTGGAAGAGGCCAAGCTCTTTCCTTCTTTACTTCAGTAGAAACACTCTGACTGAGTGAGTTCTAGACTCTCTCAGATGCCTCCCTCTTCTCATTCACTTGATGCCAAGCTTTCCGGTGCCCCTCATCCTTCAAAAACAGAGCACCAGGTATGCCCACAATGTCTCTGGCAGCTGCCAAATATGTCTTCAATCCCTGTCTCCACCGCTATTGCCGCATCCAGTTCCAGCCAGGGTTAGGGGGCCTTACTTCTCCCAAGTCCAGCATACTGAAGCGTCCCTTCAGCAGCAGAGTGGGTCTTGGTCTCACCACCTCAGAGCACTTTCTCCACAACAACCAGAACAGGTCCCTCCTCCACAATCTGGTATCAGGTCAAACTTAACGGAACTGTTTCTTCCTCTTTTGGGATCCCAAAGCCATGTCTCCCATACTTTCACTCTGGTAAGGTGAGTGACTACCTTCTCATGAAAATGCTAATGGCATGCTTAATAATCAGCCCCATCTTTCTGAGCAGAGTAAGCATCTGAAACATCGCAATGCTTACAAACTTGCCATAGCTTATGTTTATGATTACCAACCATATACTTCGGCTATCAGAGCATTAGAGTCAAGATACGGTCAACCACATCAACTTATCCAGAGTGAAATTGCCTTATCATCAACTCTCAAACATTGAAGAGTGGAGATGTTGATATCTTTGAGGACTTCTCTTTATCTGTCCACTTCTTGGTTGGTTTTCTCAAATCTATGGAGGGAAGTAATGGGATTGAAAGGCAATGTATTTCACATTGCTCAGCAAATTACTATGACTCCATCACTGAACACTGCTTGCATGAGTTCAACAGACTTACATTCTGGAAAACCTCTCAATAAGACTGTAGGCCAAAGCACATGCACGACGCCTGGCCCAGAGAGCAGCTCAGAACTCTGCAGACACTGTCAGGAAAGAGGTCATGAGGAACTGGTCTACGCAACCCCCAAAGAGAATGCCAGACAGGCCACAATGTAAAGCTAAGGAGTCTCAACCAAATATGGTAACCACTACCTCGAACCCAAACTGAACAGTGCTGGGACAGTTGAGTTGATAAAAGAAAGTGTGTGTTGTTGGAAATGTTTTAGGACTTTTTTCCAGATGTGTGAGCCTTGTAACTGATAAAGCCTTGTACAGCCTGCAACAGGATCCCTCTCAACAATTCTCCATGATACCATTTCCTCAACTGACAGCACATGCACGATGGTCAGCACCCCAGCTCCACAATTTTATCTTGACCATCCCAACCTCAAGTCATCTTAAAGGTTGTCCCAGTCGTGCTCTATAGCAATGAGAATGAACTTTATACATATGCCATTCTGGATGATGGCTCTGAACTATCAATCATCCAGCTGTCAAACATCAAGACCTTAAGGAGGACCCCGAGGTCCTCAGTATCAAAACCGTTAGACAAGATGTTCTCCAAGTGAAAGGAGCCACAGTAATGTTCCAAAAATCTCCACCTGACTCCTGTCAACAAAGTATCAGTTAAAGAATGCATTCACTGCTGATCAGCTCGGTCTGTTGGAATATTCCTGTCCAGCAGCTGCCCTACAAGTGTGTTTCCCCCATCTCAAGGGTTTACCCTTACCTCAGCTCAACAAACTTTAGCCACTGGCTCTTATTGGATCTGACCAACCTCATCTTGGCATTCCCACCAAACCTGTGCACACTTGCCCTCCGGGTGCCTCCTCTGGAGACTGTATAGCCCTTGGAGGGCTATGCAAGAGTCTTTAGAGCTGAATCTGCCCACCACACAAGGGCCACGGTTGTGGCAATTGGATTTCTTTCCATATTGGAATGAGACACCGTGGAGAACTATCAACTGGCCTGAATGTGTTTTACAGTAGTTTTGTTAAACTTCTGCACCCTAGGCCTATGCACCCAGTGAGCAATTTTTAAAAACAGATATGGGAACATTAATGACAAGGAACATACACATTTAGTAAACCTCTGCAAACAAAAATTTAAACTTTAATCAGTAATACAATGTTTGTAACAGTTTACCTCTCTGCAGCAAAGGAATGTCGTCCTTTGAAATTAATGAGGCAATCATTGGACCAGTCACTCTTCACAGACACAGAGGTGGGTTCAGGTTTTTCCAGTTTCCTCCTGAGAGACACAGGATATAATCTAATCTAATAATGAACTGCATCCATAACACAGTGAAAAAATGTACTCTGGTTAATTTAAGAAACCAGTGTCTTTGCTGTTTCGTCCTGCCATCCAATACAAGTGTGTTTTTTCACCACTGAATAGTCATATTGTTTTACATGCACTCCAGAGTGGATCAATGTGAAAAGATGCAAGTGAGGGAAATGTGGATTTAAGAGAATTGAGATGTACCACGTTTTATACTCATGTAGTCAAAAACTGTTCAAAAACTGAGTGTGTGGAGAGAAACACATATTTAATAAATCTTCTCTGAACAAACAGCTATCAGCATTATAATGTTAGTAACAGCTTACTTCTTTGCAGCAGAGGGTTGTCCTCCTTTAAAATCAATGTAGCGTTCATTTGACTTGTCACTCTTGAAGGACACACAGCTGGATTCAGGTCCAGAATCAGGTCCAGGTCCAGCAGAGTCTGGTCTGTGCTGCTGCTCTGGCCTTCAACACAACACACACAGAGGTCTGAGTGTGAACAACGATGGAGAAGTGATCTGACTGCAGATCTCTGACATGGAGAAGAGTCATGGACGGTTAGGGATCCTGATCTCACCTCTGAGCTCTGGTCTGGCTCTCATGTTCCCCACACAGAGTGGTTTTAGAGGGAGGGGCTCCCTCCTCTCTGTCCTCACACTGATCCATGCTGCTGAGTTCACATCCACATCAGCTCACACACACTTTCTACCTTCATGTGGAGAGAAACACACATTATTCATCTGCACATCCACTGAAATTTACATAATTTCTCCTGTAAAAATATCAGCTGCTCCTCCACGGACTGGCTCTTCTTCTCTGTTTTACATAGAGGAAGCTGACATCAGCTGGTGTACTTCTACTATCACTCCACTAGATGGCGTCATGAAGCTGCAGTGAAGTGAAGAGCAGCACCGCAAACAGGGTCATGGACAAGCATTAACACCCACTGACACATAGAATGACTGAGATCCACTAAGTTTATCTGACACAGTCTCTGTGTCTACAAGCATCCCTGTGAAATATGACTTGACGAAACAAGCTGCAGCTGGTTATTTCACACACAACTGGGACTGAATTCATTTCAAATGTCAGAATTTCAAAGATTTCAAATCATCCATTCAAGTTTCTCAGTCTGAAATAATGTCTTCAAATGTCTTGTTTTGTCAGACCAACAATCAAAAACCCAAAATATTAAGTTTACAATCAAATGAATGTTTTTTTTTTTTACATTTCTGCTTGATGCGATTTTCTGAATGATTATAAAAATACCTACAGATTATTTTATGCTGATCGAACAACTGTAGTTCCAGACTTTACAGTTACAGTTCTGAGATCTCTGACAATAACAGCACAATAACTTCTGCTAAAGTTTCTACTGTAACTCAGGTAACGACAGGTGTTAATGAGTAAAACGTTAAAAAAAACTGCTCACATTACCTTCAGAGGAGAGAAGAAACTGCGTCCCTTCAAAGTGAAACTAAACAACAAGGAAAAGCCCAGAGAAGTCTGTGAGTGAGGGGGCGTGTCGGAGGGAGAAAAACTGCCGGGAAAATAAGACGTAAAATAAAGATCAGCAAATTCACACAGAAGTAAATGTTTAAGAACATGTTCATTTGTAGTTTGACTTTGTTTAGAGACAAAAACGTCTTGAAATAACTTAACGCCTGGAAACTGCAAACTTCTGTTTCAGAAGCAGGTTTAGGGAAAGTTAAAAAAAAGAAAATCCGACTTACAAAGTGGTTTATCACCCGCACTGTTTGTTCCAACTGCAACAGCAGCTATTGATTACTGATCAACTGAGTTCTAATGCAACTAATATCACCATTAACTGTGAAGTTATGATTATGTGGCTTCCTCTGGTGGTGAAAAGATAAACTGCACGATATCAGTTCAATTCAGTAGTACCTGCTGTACCGGAGGCTGCAGCGCCACCAGTGGCGGATCTAGAAAATTTTACATGAGGTGGCAAGAGATATTGGCAGGGTGGCATGGGAGGACGGTACGTGGGAATCCCCATATATGTGTAAATGGATTCAACAAAAGATCCACAAAAACACGTTTAAACTATGTTTTGTTATATCATGTCCTGTATCAATACACTCCCCATGTGATTGTAGTTTCTACAACGAAATTCAGTTTGGCACTGTTCACTTATTTCTTTATCTCTTCATTCTGTGGCCTTCTCCTGCTCTGACTCTCCTGAACATTGAACATTGAATAATATTCTGTATATAGGGGAGTGTATGATACAGGACATGATATAACAAACATAGTTTAAAACGTGTTTTTGTGGATTCTTTTGTTGAATCCATTTACACATATATGGGGATTCCCACGTACCGTCCTCCATGCCACCGTCTGCCATATCTCTTGCCACCTCATGCTAAAATTTTCTTAGATCCGCCACTGGTGGCGCTGCAGCCTCCGGTACAGCAGGTAACTACTGAATTGAACTGATATCGTGGCAGTTTATCTTTTCACCACCAAGAGGAAGCCACATAATCATAACTTCACAGTTATGGTGATATTAGTTGCATTAGAACTCAGTTGATCAGTAATCATTAGCTGCTGTTGCAGTTGGAACAAACAGTGCGGGTGATAAACCACTTTGTAAGTCGGATTTTTTTTTTTTTTTTTACTTCCCTAAACCTGCTTCTGAAACAGAAGTTTGCAGTTTCCAGGCGTTAAGTTGTTTTCAAGAACGTTTTTGTCTCTAAACAAAGTCAAACTACAAATGAAATGTTCTTAAACATTTACTTCTGTGTGAATTTGCTGATCTTTATTTTACCGTCTTATTTTTCCCGGCAGTTTTTCTCCCTCCGACACCGCCCCTCACTCACACACTTCTCTGGGCGTTTCCTTGTTGTTTAGTTTCACTTTGAAGGACGCAGTTTCTTCTCCTCCTCTGAAGGTAATGTGAGCAGTTTTTTTTTAACGTTTTTACTTCATTAACACCTGTCGTTACCTGAGTTACAGTAGAAACTTTAGCAGAAGTTATTGTGCTGTTATTGTCAGAGATCTCAGAACTGTAACTGTAAAGTCTGGACCGAAATTACTCGCTAATCAGCATAAAATAATCTGTAGGTATTTTTATAATCATTCAGAAAATCGCATCAAGCAGAAAATGTAAAAAAAAAACAACATTTCATCTTGATTGTTAAACTTAATATTTTGGGTTTTTGATTGTTGGTCTGACAAAACAAGACATTTGAAAGACATTATTTCAGACTGAGAAACTTGAATGGATGATTTGAAATCTTTGAAATTCTGACATTTGAAATGAATTCAGTCCCAGTTGTGTGTGAAGTAACCAGCTGCAGCTTGTTTCCGTCAAGTCATATTTCACAGGGATGCTTGTTAGACACAGAGACTGTGTCAGATAAACTTAGTGGATCTCAGTCATTCTGTGTGTCAGGGGTGTTAATGCTTTGTCCATGATCCCTGTTTGCGGTGCTGGCTCTTCACTTCACTGCAGCTTCATGACGCCATCTAGTGGAGTGATAGTAAGAAGTACACCAGCTGATGTCAGCTTCCTCTATGTAAAAACAGAGAAGAAGAGCCAGTTCCGTGGAGGAGCAGCTGATATTTTTACAAGGAGAAATTATGTAAAATTTCAGTGGATGTGCAGATGAATAATGTGTGTTTCTCTCGCACATGAAGGTGAGAAAGTGTGTGTGAAGCTGATGTGGATGTGAACTCAGCAGCATGGATCAGTGTGAGGACAGAGAGGAGGAGCACCCTCCCTCTAAAACCACTTCTGTGTGGGGAACATGAGAGCCAGACCAGAGCTCAGAGGTGAAGATCAGGATCCCTAACCGTCCATGACTTCTTCTCATGTCAGAGATCTGCAGTCAGATCACTTCTCCATCGTTTTCACACTCAGAGCTCTGTGTGTGTTGTGTTGAAGGCCGAGCAGCAGCACAGACCAGACTTCTGCTGGACCTGGACCTGATTCTGGACCTGAATCCAGCTGTGTGTCCTTCAAGAGTGACAAGTCAAATGAACGCTACATTGATTTTAAAGGAGGACAACCCTCTGCTGGCAAAGAAGTAAGCTGTACTAACATTATAATGCTGATAGCTGTTGTTCAGAGAGATTTTATTAAATATGTGTTTCTCTCCACACTACTCTAAGTTTTGTGAACAGTTTTTGACTACAATTGAGTATAAAAACGTGGTACATCTCAATTCTCCTTAAATCCACATTTCCCTCACTTGCATCTTTTCACATTGATCCACTCTGGAGTGCATGTAAAACAATATGACTTATTCAGTGGTGAAAAAACAAACTTGTATTGGATGGCAGGACGAAACAGCAAAGACACTGGTTTCTTTAAAATTAAACCAGAGTACATTTTTTCACTGTGTTATGGATGCAGTTCATTATTAGATTAGATTATATCCTGTGTCTCTCAGGAGGAAAACTGGAAAAACCTGAACCCACCTCTGTGTCTGTGAAGAGTGACTGGTCCAATGATTGGCCTCATTAATTTCAAAAGGACGACATTCCTTTGCATGCAGAGAGGTAAACTGTTACAAACATTGTATTACTGATTAAAGTTTAAATTTTTGTTTGCAGAGGTTTACTAAATGTGTATGTTCCTTGTCATTAATGTTCCATATCTGTTTTTAAAAATTGCTCACTTGGGTGCATAGGCCTAGGGTGCAGAAGTTTAACAAAAACTACTGTAAAACACATTCAGGCCAGTTGATAGTTTCCCACGGTGTCTCATTCCAATATGGAAAGAAATCCAATTGCCACAACCGTGGGCCCTTGTGTGGTGGGCAGATTCAGCTCTAAAGACCTCTGCATAGCCGTCCAAGGGTATACAGTCTCCAGAGGAGGCACCCGGAGGGCAAGTGTTGCACAGGTTTGGTGGGAATGCCAAGATGAGGTTGGTCAGATCCAATAAGAGCCAGTGGCTAAAAGTTGTTGAGCTGAGGTACAGGGTAAACCCTTGAGATGGGGGAACACACTTGTAGGGCAGCTGCTGGACAGGAATATTCCAACAGACTGAGCTGATCAGCAGTTGAATGCATTCTTTAACTGATACTTTGTTGACAGGAGTCAGGTGGAGATTTTTGGAAACATTACTGTGGCTCCTTTCACTTGGAGAAACATCTTGTCTAACGGTTTTTGATACTGAGGACCTCGGGGTCCTCCTTAAGCGTCTTCATGTTTGACAGCTGGATGATTGATAGTTCAGAGCCATCATCCAGAATGGCATATGTAATAAGTTCATTCTCATTGCTATAGTAGCACGACTGGGACAACCTTTAAGATGACTTGAGGTTGGGATGGTCAAGATAAAATTGTGGAGCTGGGGTGCTGACCATCGTGCATGTGCTGTGCAGTTGAGAAATGGTATCATGGAGAATTGTTGAGAGGGATCCTGTTGCAGGCTGACAAGGCTTTTTCAGTTACAAGGCTCACACATCTGGAAAAA